GACAAGAATAAAGGTAATCTCCAATTTGACTCTTCTGTTCTTTTCTATCTCATTCTTTTATAAGAGAAACAAACTGAGACTTAGGGCAGCTACCTTACTCAGGACAAGAATAAAGGTAATCTCCAATTTGACTCTTCTGTTCTTTTCTATCTCATTCTTTTATAAGAGAAACAAACTGAGACTTAGGGCAGCTACCTTACTCAGGACAAGAATAAAGGTAATCTCCAATTTGACTCTTCTGTTCTTTTCTCAGTGGCCACCAATTCAACCATGGTTCCTAGCATCCACTTAATAAAATTGGTCCCCCAAAGCCTAGACACTAGGTCTTTCTGAGCTCAATACACAAGTCACTGCAGCTGCCATTTAGTCTCTGTGTGCCTACAGACTCCGTGTCCTACTGACCTGTGCTGTTTTATAATGATCCTGCGGATTACCTGGGAACCACCTGGGTAATTTGCTACCAGTCTGAGGTATGGACTTCAATCACTGCATTAAAAATTTCTTTCTAGCCAGGTGTGATGGTGCACACCCCAGCACTCCGGGAGGCAGAGGCAGGCATGTTGGGGGGAAGTCTTATGTATATGTCAATAAAGCACTGCTGGCCAATAGGAATCTAGATAGGTGGGACTAGGAGTCCAGGAGGACTCTGGGAAGGAGAAACACAAGAGAGTCACGATGTAACGCCATGGGGTAGGAAGCCCGGAAACTTCTCCGGTAAGAGATACATTTAGATTAACAATTATGGGGTAATTACTTAAGTCAGAGCTAGCCAGTAAGAAACAAGCAAGGCCAACAGCTTCATAATCAATATAGCCTCCTGTGTGTTTATTTGGGACTGATGCGGCTCTAGAACCAGGCTGGCGGGAAGGCTTCTCTCAAGGAAAAGGCCTCCCTTTACACAGGCAGATCTCTGTGAGTTTGAAACCAGCCTGGTATACAAAGCAAGTTCCAGAAGAGCAGGGCTGTCTTGAAAAACAAAACCAAATGAAACCAAAACAATTTCTATATAAGGTAACATTCACAGATTCCAGGAGTCAGGAAGTGTCTTGGGTTATTGATGGTGATAGGGATTATTCTATTTACTACACAGAATATCCTTGACTATGAATTGGAAGCATGGTAAGATATGTACCAGAGTGTTCCTTGGGAACACAGAAACACAAGCCAGATGAGAAGAGTCAAGATAAGAAGTGTTCATTAATGGCTCTGTTTATGGGGAATCCGATAAACCTGAAAGGTTTGGTCTAGTCTTTATCTTGTCAGAGAGGGAAAACGAGTTTAGTCTCCATGTGCTCATAGTAAATGCTTCAACAATACTTTAAAAAATTAATTGTGGTTGGTGTGTGCGTGATATGTGTATGGGCATGTGTGCCATGGTGTGTTTGTGGAGAGCAGAGAACTCTGTAGCACTGGTTTCCTCCCTCCACCTTTACTGAAGTTGCAGGGATTGACTTCAGGTTGCGAGGCTGCACCTGTGCCAGCTGAGTCTCCTTGCTGCCCACAACACTATTGAACTGTACATTTCAGGAGGTTAGAATACTGGATTTTCATATGCCCTTTCACAACACAAGAAAAAGCATTGCTATGAGTGTTGAAACTGTTATTTAAAAAAAAAAAACTTGAAACAAGTGGCTGAAGAGATGGCTCAGACGTTAAGAGCACTGTCTGCTCTTCCAGAGGCCCTGAGTTCAATCCCAGCAACCACATGGTGGCTCACAACCATCTACAATGCATTCTGGTGCTCTCTTCTGGTCTGCAGGCATACATGCAGGCAGAACACCATATACATAACAAATACATGACAAAAAAGTTTGAAACACAGAGCCATCCTATGGACTTGCTCGTGGTTGCTGACTACAGTCCTAAACAGCACAACCCCCCACTGTTATCAGCTCCCTGCCTTCAAGTATCAATCTCCTACCCCCACCTCCAGACAGGTTTCTCTGTGTAACCGCCCTCGATGTCCTGCGACTATCTCTGTAGACCAGGCTGGCCTTGAACTCACAGATCTGCCCACCTATTTCCTGAGTGTGCCACCACTGCTTGGCTTCAGTTTTTAAAAACTAACAGAATGTTACAAGCACAATGGAGAATTGAACTAAGCATACTGGGGAGGCAGAAGGGATCTTTTCTCAGGTCAAAGACAGTTAATAGAAAAGCAGTGAATAGAATTTAGCTGTCCACGTACCTTCCTGTTGTCACTTGGAAGTATTTATTTGTTTTGCATATTTTAAACAATATCTTTATTAATTCTTTGAGAATTTCTCACAACATATTTTGAGCATATCCACTGCCCCCATTTCCCAACTCTTTCCATAACCACCCTGTCCACTTGAAGTTTCTTTTCCCCTTGCTTATATTCCTTAATAGTTAGAAAAGCTTTGAGTGGGTTGTTTCATAAATACAGACTAAATTAAAGTCTTCTAGAAATAGTTCTCTAGTGTTGGTCTCCAGAAAGAAAAATCCCATTGGCCATTAGCTACTTTTAGGGACCAATATTCCTTTACTCCTCTTCTCTATGTGTTGACACTGAAAAACTGGCAACGTGGAGGCAGTTACCATTATGCTCTGAGTGTCCCACTTTCTAAGGGTGGAGCAAACAGGAAGACAAATAAAGCTCCCTCAGGTCAGCGGGGGAAGAGTCTAAAATTAAACCTTGACTGAAATGCTTAGGGTGCAATGTTCATTTGTCTGAGAGTGAAGAAAAGCAAGCTAAAGGAGTTTTGTCTTGCATGACAGAATTTGTAATGATTTGCTTCTTTTCATTTGCCTGGGGAAAACAACTAACTCTTACCTAGTTCTAAGACTTGTGTAGTATTTGATAGGTTGGGGAAACACACTTTACTGAATACAGTGTGCTTAAAGTAGTCTTTCGTACCAGACTTTCCTGGTATGCCCAACGGCTTGCTTATCTAAAAAACGCCAGCTCCTCCTCAGGACACCCTCTGAGAACTTGTCTTTCCATCATAGTTGTAAGGCTCAGCCATTTTCTGACCCAGAGACTTCCATCTTATGCTGAGGTGACCACTCCATGAACTTGGTGACATGCCAAGTACATAAGGACTAAAAACCCTTTTCAGAAATACTGGTGTGGTCTGTGCTGGACTAATGAGCCATAGATGTAACTTGTTCCTCCAAACAATGCTTGACCAACCCCTGTAATTCACTTACATTTTCTCTTTTTAACCAGTAAAAGGACATTCAATCCCTTTCCAAATGGGACATGTTGTAGATTTACTGACATCTGTGCTCCTTGAATTACAATTCTAAGACCTTCAAATAAACACTTAAAAACAAAAAACCAACCAAACAAAAAAACCTTAAAGCCTTATCTGCCCTCTTAAGATGGAAATAATGTATCGAAAGTTTTAGGTAAATGTTCTAGTTGGTTCTTACTTAAACAAGCACGTGTAATTCATATGTGAGGCTGGTAGTGAGTTAGTAAGCTCAGAAAAATAAGCCAGCCAGCAATGCATTCACAGTCAACTGTCCCGCAGAGAGCTGCATGCTCTGCTCTGAGCATGGAACTTGGAATATGGTCTGCCCAGTATGTGACAGGAGGGGGTTGCTGTTTTCTTAGGTTTGAAAAATCTATCGTGGCTATGGAACCAGTCTTTCTTCTTAGGAGAGTCAGCTAAGTGATTTAAGTATTTTGATGTCTGAAACGTCTTCAAACGGCATAAAAATGCATGCGCACTTTTTGTGTACACGGCATATTTTCATAAGGGCGAGGAACGGCATGTTTAAAGTCCCTTAGCAAAGAGCACTCACTAACGAGAGCATCAGAGCAGTAATTTCAATTTTTCCTTTGGGCTTGTAGTGCTATTGCTTTTTTTTTTTTTAAGTTTTTTTTTTTTTTGGTGCATGCCAAGCGTTGTTTATTTAGCCTCATCCAGGTGCACAGGAGCTGTTAAAGCATACTAAACTTAAAACAAAACAAAAACCCAGTTACAACTGCAGGCTGCCCAGAGTAAATAAAGTATAGAACCACACAACGTTCCGCAGAATTGTGTGATTATATATTCACTTTCTAAAGGCATTGTAGCTTGTTTGTGTTTTTCTATCATAACTGCATTAAAGCCTGGCTTTTCCTTTTTGCCAACACAAACTGAGACAGCCATTTGGTTCTGGTCTATGCATATATCCCAGAAAGTAGAGTTTTTGTTGTTTTTTTTTTAACCCATCCACTCATCACTGAATTCTGCACGCCTTCATAAGTTACTTCTTGAAATAATTTCAGTCAGTTAAGAAACTCAGAGTCACCATTTTATAACGTCTGGGTCTTACTCTGAGATTTCAGGAAGCCACACATTTAGAAAAGAGCCGCCCGAGGCAGAAGGCTGACGTACTTTTAAAGGGCACTCAGGGCTTCCTACAGAGAACTAAAAAGAGTCAAACGCTCAGTGTCCACGACAGGCAGGCCCGCGGGTCAGCCGGGAGCCCCGGGGTTGGCGGCGGGCTCCGGCGGCCAGGAAAGCGCTCGCGGGACTCGGATGCGCGGGGCAGAGCCGGTCTGGCGGAGGCCCAGGGCCTGCAGCCCGTGCCCCGCTCGCCGCGCTGACCTCGGCGCCTCCGCCCGCCAGGCGGCCATCTTGGTGAGGGTCAGGCCGCGGGGTGCGACCCGGCTGCAGCCTGGGGTCTCGCGGTGGCGGACGACGCCCAGCACCGAAGATGGCGAGGCGGCGGGCGCTGAGGCGCTGCGTGCAGCTGCTCGCGCTCTCGGCGGAGCCGGGCCGGCGGGGCCGCGGGCGGAGGAGCGCGGACTCCGGGGCCGGCGGGGCCACCGGGCCCGCCGCGGAGGCTCAGACGCGACGCCACGCGCGCCCGGTCGCCCTCCGCGCCAGGTGAGCCCGCCTCTCGCCCCGCCCCTCGCAGGCTGGCCCCGCCCCCAGCATGCGCTGCCCTCCCTCCGTCCCGCCCTCTAACCTCGTCCCCACCTCTAACCCCGCCCCCGCCCCCCCAGCCCCGCCCCGCGGCGGCCCCGCCCCCCTGTGCAGCGCGCCGGCTCCCCGGAACCCGAGTGGCCTCGGGGGAACCGTCCTACAGTTACCCAGCACCCTCGCGGGAGGCGGTTTCCGCGGCCGCGGCTCTTCTTCGCGGCGGGATCGCTCCTTTCTCCCGGTGCCGGTGTGGCGCAGCCTTTCCGGGGCTGTTTGGACGAAGTAGAGCGGGCAGCGAGTAGGTTTCCAGTCCCGCAGCCCGGCCTCCGCCTGGAGATGCTGCGCTTGTGAGCGGCAGGCTTCTCGGGAATTGCCGCCCCGAGGGGCTGCGGAGCCCGCGCCCCTGGGGCCGCCGCAGTGTTAGCCATCTAGGCGGGAGTGCCTGCGTGGGCGATTGAAGACCCTAGGCTCCCTGCAGAGCCCCAGGCTGCAGCTTCACGATGGGAATATAAGTGGTGTATCTTCGTTGGTTTGTATGCAGATGAGGGGTCCACAACTTAGGACAGCTTATTTCGGCTTCATCTGTAGTATTTAATCTTAAGTCCATCCCCAAAGCATTCTGGCTTTTTTTTCCCCTTAAAGTAACTGTAACTTACTTAACCACGGAATGAGCAAAAGCAGGAGAGGAAAGGGAGGCGAGGGGCGATTTTTTTTTTGTTTTGTTTTGTTTTGTTTTGGTCCTGTGTTTGCTTCTTAGACGACTGAAGGCGTTGAGATGGACTCCCTTTCCCAAGGAGCGCGGTATGACCCTGGTAGCTGTGAATATGCTTCCCGGTCTCCAGTCGAACCTGGATGACGTGTGACCCCCAATCGGACCCAGAAAACATTAAGGGAAAAAGAAAAGTCATAGCCTCTAAAAAGCCGGACGCTTCTTGCTGTGCCCTTACTGTAGGGCGCCTTAAAAATTGTTATTCCATGACTTGCTTGGGAGGTTTTGGCTTAGCATGAAGTCAGAAAGTCACCCTTGCAACACATGTCTCTGTCAATTAAGAAATCATTTTCATCTCTATTAACAGATGGAGTTGTAACAGTTCCGTTTCTGTTTTGTTACATTGAGTAGGAGTTAGTGATAACTACACGGTTTGTTTAGAAAGAAGTTACATAATATTTAAAAGAACGATTACCTGGTTCTTACAACAGTCCGTATTTTAAAATAGTTTGATTTTTGTTGTAAGAAAATATTAGCTCTGTTAAAGAATTTCAGGGCAAGTATGTATGCTTAAAATCAGAATCTAAGAGGAATCGAGGGTTTAAAATGGGTTTAAGTCACCTGGAAATACAGCCATACTTTTCAAAGGTTTTGTTAACATTTTTGCAGACTTGCTGGCTTCATGAATTTATAGCAGGTATCCAAGAGACAAAAGTCCTTAGTGAATGTCTCATGTCTTTATTTCCATTCACAATTCCAAATCAGAGTGGACAGAGTCTACATTCCAAAACTGAGTCTTAAAATTGGTCCAGTATGACTGTCTGAAAGACATTTTACCATAAGCATTCTGTCATAAGGTCTGGGTTGTCTTATTTGATAAGGGTTTCCTTATACTTAGTTCTTTTGTCATACCTATCGGTTTGAAAGAAGTCTTATGTCCCTTTAGATATTTATTTAGAAAGCCAGGAGGATTTCTATGGAAATTCAGCTTCTATGTGGAATTAATATTTGACTTTAATTTTGATTTTTTCTCTCAGTGATGGGTAGCTATAACTATAGTGGGGTTTTCCATCCCTTTTCATTCTGCGGAATGTGACTGCATGGAGTGCCCTGTGTATCAGATGTTTTAGATTGAAATAATATAAGTAAAATGTGTTTTAATTGAAATATTATTAGGGAGATGAACTGTGCACATTTTTAAAGAACATTTTCATTTTGAAAACCTGTAAAGAACATGTATAAAATTGGCATAAAAAGAAATTCCAGTGATTTCTACTGTAAGGTTCAAGTAATGGTTCATTCTAATTTCTATAGCATTGTCATAACTCAGTGCTTTACTTGGCCTGTCTTTTCAATTTAGTAACTATTGATTATGATCTACTTTATTAATCAGCCTTTACAAGAGATTATATATATGTATACATATATATTTATTCATTCTTGGATAGCCCCAAGAGCAATATATATATGTATAGTCATACATAGTCTGCTGCCAACTAACCTTAGTAATGTATTATAACTTAATAACTTTTCAAGCTCTTTCAAGGTAGTTTAGGCCATTAACTCTGGTTCATGTTAGACAGATGAAGCAGCCAAGCCAAGATGGCACAGTATAGGTTGCCAACACAATGTGGACTGCACCCTAAACCCTATAAAAAGTTAGGGATGGTCGTTAGCATTGGTTCTGGAGGCACAGGACTCCATTAGATGGATCAGCATAATTAAAAGTGTGATTGAAAAACAAATCTACTGTTGGGTGTGGGAGCGCATGCATTCAGGAGGCAGAGAGCCCATGCATTCAGGAGGCAGAGACAGGCCCTGGGATTGTGAGTAGGAGGCTAGTCTTGGTTACATAGAAAGTTCCAGGCTAACTTGGGATACCTACCTAGCAAGATTGAAGAGAACAAAAAGGGAGAAGGGAGGATGAATTCTGCCTGGCATGCTGAACAATATCTTTCCTCTTTAACAGAGCAGGTTCTGTGTTTTTGTACTTGGGACCTTTCCCAGATTAAGGAGCACTAACATGCCAATCAAAACAGTAAATGTCTGACAAATTCTGTGTGATTTTTGTAGTCCTCCTCAGTTATAAGAATAAAATTTTGAGGGTAAAGAGACACTTGGTTTTCTTGTTCTTATTAACAGTCCTTAAACTGATTCTTGTCTGTTTTGCTTATCAGACCCTACAGCTATTCGATAACCACAATAATTTGTCCCTATTCTCAGCATACAAAGATATTTGTTTCCTTTCAAAGTGTGTTTAGTTTGCTTAGAAAGTTCATGGAAAGCTAAGTTTCCTTTCTTCCACGGTAACTAATAAAAGATTCAAGTTTCTGGATTTAATTTTTTTAAAACTAAAATAAGTCCTGGACATGAGGTAGAACATGTCTTTCTTCCTCATGTACTGACCGTGTTCTTTGACTGCTGTTCTGAGGATTTCTAGGTGAGATCTGATCTTAATTATGTAAGATAATTAAGGGGTTAGCGTGGCTAATAGACTAGGCTCCTGGCCCAATCCAGATCCTGGGAACGTCATGTAACTCCGTAGTCTGACTTGCTCTGCCTGTAAAGAGATCACACATGTGATGGCTTTTATCATGGGAGAGACAGTCAGATGGGAAGAGACCCTGGAGGTTATGGACCAGGTTCAACCTCTCTAGCTTGCAGATCTACTTCTCTCGTAAAAGCTCAGCTTATGACATTCAAAGCTGCTGCTACCATTTCCTTTTAATTGTTGAGGGAGTGTTGATTCCTTCATGTTTGCTTGGTTTTCTGTGTAAACATTTTGTCTGTTGTGTGTACATGTCTGCTGTTTGTAGCCTGTTTTTTTAATGGGGTTAATGCTGATGAACAATGATGAGTATTCTTCCAATGAGGAATTTCACCTAATAAACTTTTGATCTCAGCAGCAGTCTCTTGGTTCAGCATGTTTATGCACAGCTTTGTAGTTTGCTTTTGCATGGCCATTCAGATATTTTCAACCATAATTTTTTTTTTTTTTTTTTTTTTTTTTGCTGAGACAGGGTTTCTCTGTATGTAGCTTTGTAGACCAGACTGGTCTTGAACTCACAGAGATCCACCTGCCTCTGCCTCCCAAGTGCTGGGATTAAAGGCATGTGCCACCAATTTGCAGACCATGTAAAAGTAAAAGAGTGTTTTTTCTTTGTTTTCCTCTTTTTAAAAATAAATTATTTAATTTTATTGGTGTGAGGTGTCAGATCCCCTGGAACTGAGTTACAGGCAGCTGTGAGCTGCCATGTGGGTGCTGGGAGTTGACCCTGAGTCCTCTGGAAGGGCAGTCAGTGTTCTCAACTACTGAGTCATCTATCTCCGACCTCCCAAATAATTTCTTTTTCCAAGAACTAGTGCCTACTAAGTGTCTACTAAGAGCTTCTTACTTTGACAATGAAAAAGTCACATTATTGGAAGAAAAATAAGGTTAACCTTGTCTCTATGTCAATACTGGTAACTGTTGGTTCTACTAGATTCAGCTATATTACTGGTGGGAAGAGTGGACTTTGGGGTTTGATCAGCATGGGTTGGATCCCAAGAGTCAACTGTTACTAACTTTTTGACTTTATAAAAGCCCTATCTTTAGTTGTTGTTGTTTTTAAAGCTCTTTTAAACTTTCTAATTATGGCAGTTGTATTGGGACAGTTTGTAAAATTGCTTAAATGTGTTTCTCCTCCCTGTGGAAGAAGTACAAAACTGGACTGTCTGGACAGTGTGGTGAGTACCATTTCTAGGATGTGGCTCCGGATGGCATCACATAGCAAGATGCTGGAGGAAGCTGGAGTTGGGTTGCCTTTCTCTTGAGGAGACTACTGGCAGCACCCCATGTGACTGTCTTGGATCGAGGAGAACATGGCCAGCATGGTCATCTGTGCCTTTCTGGAAGGCTGAAGATGCAGCTGCTGAGCTCTGTTATGTGCTAAGCAGAAGGGAGACTGGATTTTATGGTGGATCTCTTTTAGTCTTCACCTTATTCAACTGTAGACCCCAGCCTACCAGCTCTTCCCCATGGCTCTTCCATAATTAGTGGAGTTAGCGGGCACCCTTTGTGTACCTACGTCTCTTTGTCCTTTACTTTTCCTTCTCTGCTTATTTCATTTTCAGCAGGTGATAAAAAAAACAACCAAAAACCAAGACAACTCCAGTCTCCCTCCACCTCCATGAGCAACTAGAAATTTAAGCCCTGTTCTTCATTTGTTCTCTCCACAAGTATTTGTTGAACCCTTAGCACTTGTGTATTGCTGCTACGTATTGTTATAAGCAGCGTGAATTATTGCTGATTGTAGTTTTTTCCTTGGTTTCACTCCCTGGGAGCAGAGCCAAGTTAGAGACTCAGGTGAACTAAATATAGTCTGTAGGTGGCAAGGTGGCCTCCTACTCTAGTGGCACTTATGTAGGGTTGAGTGTAGGGTATGTGACTGTGGAAGAGCCGATTCATGATAGATACATGTCATGCTAGCCTGAATTCTAGAATCCCAGAGAGACCCTTGGGACCTTCCTAAATGCCCGAACTGCTTTGTGCTGATGACTAATGACTTAAAGCACAATAGTGGTTCTCACCCTTAGCGTCTCACCCATAA